TGCTCCGTCTGTTGTTGCGCCAAACAAGATCGCCGTGGGTGCTGGACGGATCTCGGCATAATAAGTGACAAGGACGGCTGTTAGATCATCATACATTAACAGGATGCTGCTAGCAATGTCCATAACTGTAGAATCTTGGGCTATTAGTCTCTGTTTTTGGCAAAGGTCATCTTCTCCAATGGAGGCTGGTAAACCAAGTCTCTTAGATGAACCGGACTGTATACTTGATGATAGGCTTCCATCCCTTTTCCTAGAAACTGAACTATTAGTAGACACTGCACCTGAAAAAATGTGTAAGCTATGAGGTGGGGATGCATATGAAAAATGGATAACTGGGAATGCATCAAAAAACACACCTTCTGGCATTCCTGGTGCAGGAAGGCGTGGTCCAATCTTGGTGACTAGTGGCGTGCTTAGCTGTTCAGTTGATGGAGTTGGGGGCGGTTCATGTATGGTTTTGTCTTCGCTCTTGAGGACACACATTTTCCGTCCGTGTGCTTTACAACATGTACACATTTCTCCGAGGCATGCCATTAGCTTGTCGGTGAATGTGAACATGTTTGATTAGAACGCTTGCCGCATTTCCGATATGTTTGCCGGGCCGCGTGCATTTTGTTCCCGGAGGAGAATGCCAAGTTTCTGTGCTGACTATAGATTTTAGTACAAAGAAAAGGAAAAATCATGTTAGCAAAATCCGACCTTTTCAGTATCATGAGTGCAACAAAGTTTTGGTTGACAAGGAAACAAAAATATGACAAAACCAACAAATGGTGGGTGGTACTTACTATGGTGGGGTGCCGCGATCGTATATAGTTTGAAAACTCTTGCGGACCATTCTTCATGTAATTAGATCGCAACATTGGCGAGCATGGAGTACTTGCTCTTTTCGGTGTGAAAGCTGGTTTGGCAATCTTTGTTGTGCCTGCATCATTTACAGGTGAGTCAATACCCCTTGCAGGCATATAATTCCTGACCTGATTTTTGTAAACATAGTTAGTCCTCGATGAGAAAATGAATAAATTTTGTCTTGTGGCTTGCGTATGCCGTTAGAAAATTGAAGCATAAGTTCAAACGTACCTTGCCACCGCTGAAAGTGACTTCTCCACCTGGGATGTTTACTGTGATTTGCTCGACCATCTTTTTCATTGACTCATAATTGTACAAGCCTATTCTTGGTGTTACTCCTTGTTGCTTGTTTAGTAGACCGAGCTCCAAGTTGTCGAGAACAAACACCTGTTTTGCACCAAAAACATATGGGCATGAATACATTCTGTTTTGAAAATTGTAAAAAACGAATTTGTTTGCTAAATAAATTACTTGCCTGCAAGAACAGATGACATCCGACTATATGTATAGTTGGGTTCCTCTTCGAAACATCGATTTTGAACTTCCTAACTGCTTGGAACAAATTCTTCAACACATATGCCCCCCAGTTCCAATCTTTGATCTTGCTGACATCATTCAGTGCAGCCCAGAAATCTACTGATATGTAGTCATGTTTGGCGGTCGGAGCGAGCACATGTCCAATGATGAAAATCACGAAGGCAATTTTGAAACAATGCTTGTCTGTTTCCGTTGATTGTTATGTTAAGGGTGCAAGAAAGATTGATTCAGCATCTTTTAGGTTGTGTGTGCCTTTCTCGCTGAATGATGCTGCTACACGCGTGTACTGGATACAAGCTTCAGATGGTTCAATGCCTTCACCTTGAATGGTTAGATTGCCACATGGGATGCCAAATACATACTTTATATTCTTGTCAACCAAATCCAACACCCCTTGTGACTCCAGGTTCAAGGAGCATGAATCTAAATCAACTCTATCCATCAAGTACGCACTGTATTTCAGATTAATCTTTTGCCATGACTTCAACTCTAACATTCCTCCAAAACCGATTTCGCTAACTAACTGCCTCTTAAAATCACTAAACTGAGCAATTACTGAAGCAGCCTTTAGCACAGATAACCGCGAGGTGAAGCATGGTGTGCCAGCTACCCCCGTTGAACAGCCTGAACCATCACCGTCGCTATTCCAATCTTCAACAAATTTGTCACTATTTTTTACACGATTTATAACCATTGCAGCTTGTATCCTACTAAAAATGCCTGACATTTTTATCACTCCCCTAATAAAAATGCTGTCGCGATTTAGATTGAGGACGAACGAGCAAGAAAACAAGAAAGAACGAACACGCCGGCGGCGAAAAACTAAGTGGAGATTGGCGTTCGGTACCTCTTCCGTGTGGACCAGATCGCCGGGGGCTGGCGCCGCGCAGCACCGGCAGATGAGGGGGCTCGGCGTAGTAGCAGCGCTCGGCGGCGAGGCACAGGCTGCCGCACCTAGATGCGTGGGAGCCGAGATTCCGGTGAGGACAACAGAGTGAGAAAGAACTAGGTTGGGTGGGGGGAGGAAGATGACAACAGGGTGAGGTTGATGTGAGGGAATAGAAAATTTAGAGACGTGACACGACTCTAAAAGTGGGACACAGAGGGCGGCGTGTAGCTGTACCACATTGCCCATAAAACTTGTTGCACCCAATACTAATTAGGGGACATGTTTTCATTAGACAGAATGTGTACCGTGGTCAAGTGGAATGGTCAACTGCGTGTTTAACTAAATGCTTGTAAAACTCCAAGTGTAAAGACGATAAACGGTTGCGGTAATCATCTGACTACTGCTAATTCAGGTCATTAAGCATAACGTGGCAAGCGGGAGAACGGCTTTCCGTTCGGAAAACACTACCAGCGTCATTAACGATCATTAAAAAGGTGCACTACAACACTAGCTGCTGTTTTCTCTGGTCAGGGATTTTCCACGAAGGGACCTGTGCCTCCATTGCCTATGCAGTGGACACGTCTCGACCACGACATGCACATCCAGCTGGAGTGGACACGGCTAGACCACGACGTGCACGTCCAGCTGGTACAGATCAGAGATGGCATGATGCATCGGTGCTGCAAAGTCAAAACATGTGTGTACATGTCAGACAGGTTGTAAGACACCCTAGGGGCTTTGCATGTGCGTGGGCCAGCGCTGGATCAATACAAGCAAAAAAAACAAATACAACCTCTATACGATGGCAGCGGGAATCTAGATGGTGGTCGGGCGGCAGGGATAGCGGCCTCCCTGATGCTCGGCCTTCATTCGCATTTTTCGTAGTTTTTGGCACTTTTAAGGGTTGAAAAATAGGGGTAAAGACTAGAACCCTCAAACCCAATCTTTAAAGCAGTTTAAGGGTTGTATTTAAGAGTTCTAGTCTTTGCCTCAACCCTAACCTTTAAATCTATCATTTAACATCTCATAATTTAAGACTACAAGAACACAATCAACCTCTAAACAAACTACCAAGTGACAATCATTGATGCATGGTTTAATGGTTTACATCACAAAATCATCATCTTTCCCCTCTCATCAGCACCATCACCAAAAAGTTGCACCTCGACGCCATCTCCTAGACCACATGCGGGCTCCATCAAGCATCTCCATAGGCGTCGGTGGAGTCGTCCACATCGCCATCGCTACAACTACTCATCGGAGTGTCACCTCGAAAAGTAGAGGACGCACCACAGAACATCCTGTTCCTCTCCGCGATGTCCTCCTTGTAGTCCTTCCACCATTGCAATTGGTCTTCATCCATGTCCTTCTTGGACATCATCACGTGCTCCTTCTCTTCCATCATGAGTTCTTTCCATAACTTTTCCTCTTTGAGCTTGATCATCCTCTCCTTCAAGTCGGCCTTGCGCTTTGCTTCTTCACGCTTTGCTTCAACTTGTGCAAGCTTGACCTCTTTCTTCTTCTCGGTGATAAGAAGCTTCGTCTCCAATGTCTTCGTTGTCAATTCCTCTCTTGACTTCATCATGTGCTTCATCTTCTCCCTTAGGCTTGACGCCTCTCCTTCCATCTTCACCCTTAGCTTGCCCTTCTTGGTTCCCTCGGGCTTGCCCAAGTTCCTCTCCTCCTCATCTTCACTATTATCCATCCTAAGCATTGCCGACTTCTTGGGTGCGGTCTCTTGATCCCTCAACTTCCACTTGTCAAAGGTTTGAAGAATTGCCCAAGCATGCTTAAATGGGAATGGCTTGCCCTTGGAAGCGGCCTCATGCCGGCAATTGTCTCCTATCAACCACACATAATCACATAAGAACCCACTGATGTCTACTACACAACCTTCTTCTTGTAGACGTTGTTGGGCCTCCAAGTGCAGAGGTTTGTAGGACAGTAGCAAATTTCCCTCAAGTGGATGACCTAAGGTTTATCAATCCGTAGGAGGCGTAGGATGAAGATGGTCTCTCTCAAGCAACCCTGTAACCAAATAACAAATAGTCTCTTGTGTCCCCAACACACCCAATACAATGGTAAATTGTATAGGTGCACTAGTGTGACGCCCCCAATTCGATCGTACACTAATCATACACGCAAACGTGTACGATCAAGATCAGGGACTCGCGGGAAGATATCACAACACAACTCTACAAATAAAATAAGTCATACAAGCATCATATTACAAGCCAGGGGCCTCGAGGGCTCGAATACAAGAGCTCGATCATAGACAAGTCAGCGGAAGCAACAATATCTGAGTATAGACATAAGTTAAACAAGTTTTCCTTAAGAAGGCTAGCACAAACTGGGATACAGATCGAAAGAGGCGCAGGCCTCCTGCCTGGGACCTCCTAACTACTCCTCAAAGCCGAACTCCACGTAGAATCATCCTCGGGATCCTCTGGCTTCTAGACTCCATCGTCTACTCGCAACAATCGGGTATAGAAAGGGAAAAGGGGGGGAGCAAGGCAACCGTGAGTACTCATCCAAAGTACTCGCAAGCAAGGAGCTACACTACATATGTATGCATTGGTATCAAATGGAAAATGGGGTAATATATGTGGAGTGAACTACAGAATGCCGGAATAAGAGGGGGATAGCTAGTCCTTTCGAAGACTACGCTTCTGGTAACCTCCATCTTGCAGCGGGAGAAGAGAGTAGATGGTAAGTTCACCAAGTAGCATCGTGTAGCATAATCCTAACCGATGACCCTCCCCTCGTCGCCCTGTGAGAGAGCGATCACCGGTTGTATCTGGCACTTGGAAGGGTGTGTTTTATTAAGTATCCGGTTCTAGTTGTCATAAGGTCAAGGTACAACTCCAAGTCGTCATGTTACCGAAGATCACGGCTATTCGAATAGATTAACTTCCCTGCAGGGGTGCATCACATAACGCAACACGCTCGATCCCATTTGGCCGGACACACTTTCCTGGGTCATGACCGGCCTCGGAAGATCAACACGTCGCAGCCCTACCTAGGCACAACAGAGAGGTCAGCACGCCGGTCTAAATACTATGGCGCAGGGGTCTGGGCCCATCGCCCTTTGCACACATGCACGTTGCGAACGCGGCCGGAAGCAGACCTAGCCTAGCAGGCGTTCCAGTCCAATCCGGCGCGCGCCGTTCAGTCGTTGACGTCACGAATGCTTCGGCTGATACCACGACGTCGAGTGCCCATAACTGTCCCCGCGTAGAAGGTTAGTGCGTATAGGCCAGTGGCCAGACTCAGATCAAATACCAAGATCTCGTTAAACGTGTTATCTTGAAATAACCGCGAACGCCGACCAGGGCCAGGCCCACCTCTCTCCTAGGTGGTCTCAACCTGCCCTGTCGCTTCGCCACAAAGATCCACATAGAGGGCTGTCGGGAAAGTATGTCCTTCCCAGCCCCCAATTCGTGAATCAACCACGGGTACTCCTCGAGCCAACCCGACTTTAGTCATCACATGTATCATGTATAAAGTATATAGTATATACCCGTGATCACCTCCCGAGTGATCACGGCCCGATAGTATAGCATGGCAGACGGACAAGAATGTATGTCCATTGATGATAAACTAGCATCCTATACTAAGCATTATGATTGCAGGTAAAGGTAACAACAGTAGTAGCAAGGACAGGCTATGCATCAGGATAGGATTAACGAAAAGCAGTAACATGCTACACTACTCTAATGCAAGAAGTAGAGAGAAGAGTAGGCAATATCTGGTGATCAAAGGGGGGCTTGCCTGGTTGCTCTGGCAAGAGAGAGAGGTCGTCAACACCGTAGTCATACTGGGTAGCAGCGGCGTCAGTCTCGTAGTCTATGGAGAGAAGAGGGGGAAGAAACAATGAATATAATGCAAACAGATGCATAACGATGCATGACAAGACAAGTAGCGGTGATAGGGGTGCCCTAACGCGGTATGAGGTGGTACCGGTGAAGGGGGGAAACATCCGGGAAAATATCCCCGGTGTTTAGCATTTTCAGACAGATGAATCGGAGGGGGAAAGTCGCGTATTCGCTATGCTAGGGATGCGTGGCGGACGAATAGGCTGTGTATCCGGATTCGTCTCGTCTTTCTGAGCAACTTTTATGTACAAATTATTTTCATCGAAGTTATGGTTTATTTTCTATGATTTTCCAAAGATTTAACAATATTCTGAATTTATTTATTAATTCGAATTTTGACAGAAATACAATTATTATATAGTGATGGGCTAACCACAGTCAAGGACATGTGGGGGCCAGGGAGCTAGGTTGACTCAGTCAACATTGACTTGTCAAAATGTGAATAGTAAAAGTGAAACCCGCGTGTCATAGGCTATACCTAAATAAATAAATAAATGCTAACCTAATTAATGGGGTCCACATGTCATCTGCTAGTACCTTAACCGAACTACTAATTAACCCAATACTGATTGAACGGGGGGTGGCCTCACATCAAGTGGATGTGTTCCCATGGCCAACACAGCACGCACGGGGCATAGCAAAAGTGGCCATGGCCAAGCATCAGCAGCAGTTAGCCGATGAGCAGTAAGTAGCAGCAGTAAGCGGCATGAGCAGCGTCGCGTAGCAGAGCAAGAAGCATCGGCAGCCAGCAGCAGAGGCAAGCACGCAGGCGCGCGTGCACGCGCGGTGCGCGGCCAAGGGAAGGCGAGCGCGCGTGCGGGCGATGGCTGTGGTGGCCAGGCGCGGCCGGGCGGAACAGCAGGCAAGGCGAGCGGCGCGCGAGCAGCAGCGACACAAGCAGCAATAGCAGATAGAACAGCAGCGGCGGCGCCTAGGAGCAGCAGCACGCAACGGCCAGCAACT